GCCTGAAGTCAACTAAAGGGCTAATGATGACCATCAAAACTCCTGCCATTTAACAAAATATTATTGAAGAATGAACGCTATATGGCATATTTACAAGATGATACCAAATTCATAAAAAGCTATGCCTTATAGAAATAAAAAATTATAACATTGCTATTTTCTGAAATAATCAATGACGAAATCCCCAAAGGAAGAAAGGATGAGAATGATTTATATTAAAAGTGTGCCCAGAATATAAACATTAAAGATGTGGTTTATTTGGAGGATTCCGGAGTCAACTAAGGGGATAATAATAGCCACCATAAAGCCTGCCATTTGTTACAAATAAATGTTTATAAAGTATAGTTGAATAAAAAATTCAGTTTTACTAAATTAAATAAATCAAAATAGTTTGTATAGTTACGTCATTATCCAATCGTTTCTAGTGCTTAGGTTGCGGATTGACATTTTAGTTTAATCTTGAATGCATATATGTGTAATTAAATAAATTTTTATAACTCTGTTTATAAATATAATAAATTTAAACCAAGTTTAGATTGGCTTGGCTTTTATAGAATTCTCCATTCATTTGCTTTAAAATTAGAATAAGAGCTTCATATTATTGCTTGAACTTTATATCCCTCCTTTCAATGGTTATTTAGCATTTTGCATACTAAGTGCGGCTAAATTAAAGTAATATGGCTTTCTATAACATACTTGAAATTTCTTTTATAAGAAAGCGAATACATTTTCTTAAACCTTTGTTATTTGCTTCATATTGAATTTACATCACACCTAACATACTATTCTCATTCTTTTCTTTCATTTGATCATTTCTCGGACTACGTGGCTTTTCATTTGAATGAATTTAATGTTTTGACTTTTATTATAGATGACGGCTGTTATCTATTTCCCTGTTAAATATTTAATTTATTTAAATTTCTTTAATCTACGCTTTTTTGCCTTTTTTATTCTTGAATTGACTTCCTCTATTCAGATACTAATTTAAAGCTGACAGAACGATACAGATGTTTTCTCGTAGCATTTTAACAATGTAATTCTTTGCACACTTTTAGGTAAATTATTATGATTACTAACATTTTGACTCTATCTTTTGTTCAAGGTTGGGGCCAATTTTTATTGCTAATATTGTTTTATTTCATGTGGCCCTTTCTGATCTGCTCATCTAAGCTGATTAATCTATTTTGTTCAAAGTTCATTTTGTGTTTTTATTGCCTAACATTTAAATCATTTTATCTGGTGAACGAATTTTACTCAAGTTGCTGTTTATTTGCCCTACTTGTAGTCTCTTTTAGACTGATTTTATTGTTAAATTTTTTAGATTTACCATTTTGTCAACCTAATTTTATTTTAATTCTAAAACAAGGTTTCCTAACAGTCTTACATTGCCCTTGGTTTCACCAACTTCAACATTAACTCTTTTTGACCTTTGATTTGGCTTTCGTTTCCCCCTATTGTATTCAAATGTTTATTTTTGTAAGTGATATTCGGATAATTTGCATTTCATTTTAATTTAAATTCTGCCGTAAGTTTAGTTAGTTCTCGACGACATTTTGCTTTAATGGTTTACAGGTTAACTTGAATATATTGTATTTCTTTCATTTCCACATTCGACTTTCTCTCGGTATTTTTACTTCACTTGTTAGAAGAATTAATGAACTCTCACCCCCATTTCCTTTTTATAACTTCAGATGAGGTAGCTAGTAGTATTTAGCATTTATAGCATTTTACTAAATTGCTCCTTACAAGTATTTGCAGTTTGGAAAACCGATTTATCATTATCATATAAGTATAAAAAACATTACGAATGAATGAGAAGTATATATCTGAGGGGGTACAAAAAACTGGGAGTGTTTGTTAAAAGGCTGCCTAGGGATTCTTCGAATATTCTTAACAATAAGATGTGTAGAGGTAAATAAAAATTCAATAGATTTTTTGTGTCAATCCGTTTAAATCTTCCATCCATTTTTAGTTAGCGCTTAAACATTTTGAGCTTGTTTTTGTCCATTTTAATAAGATTTACAGTAAAATTGCTTTGTTGTGATAATTAGCTTATCAAAGGTCTGCTCTTATTTGATTGCTAGAATCTATATTCTAAGATCTCTTAGGTATTTGTTTCTGAACTAAATGGGAGACTTGTGAAGGATGATTTTCCTTGTTCATTAGAGAAACATTGATTAAAACTCTTCTCTTTTTCAGATTCCCCTTTCATAACTCTAATGTATTCGGACTCACTTGGTACAAACCTCTCAGATACGGATAAACTCTGCACTTTAGAAGCAGAAGCTGCAGTATCAGAGACATCCTTTGGCGTTCGTGACATTCGAATTGCTGAAGCCCTTCCATTCAGTGAATCCCTTGCCTATCTCAATCTTACGACTCTCGAGGGGGAACGTCTGTGTGTCGAGATTTCAGCTCTGGGTTTTCGACCAGTCGGTGTCGAGTTAGTCAACACTTCTCATTTTATTAACTCCTATTAGCTGTATTCTCTCATCATAGTTTTTGTATTCTGTGTTGATTTAGCTATGATGACGTTATAGGCGCAGTGCCTCCCCCGAAGCAGGACAGCTCGCCATCAGCTCTCTCCACAGATTCTCCCAAATTCGAGCACTATGAGACAATTTATGCCCTCTTATCGGCACGAAGCGCCGGGTTTAGAGATCGTTTCTCACAGCGTTTAGCGGAACGCTTGGCTCAGCTGCAGCAAGACCAACAAATTATGAATAAGCCTACCAACTAGAAGTGGAAGGCGTGAATGAATACTTCTTGGAGTATACACACAATGCGTTCCTTTTTATCTGTTTACTTGTATGTATGTATTTGAGTTTTGTGCCTCGTTTCTTGTTAGCAAATTTTGAGAGATTGAATGTGATTATTGACCTTTTATTTGTCATGTTCTCTCAAGCGTTCTGGGCTATTGGGTGAAACGTAAAAATTCATAAAAGTCTCAAAGATTAAGCTAGTTAAGCTTCAAAGATATGATGAATTTACTGCCGTGTTACCTTGGCAACTCCCGTCCAAAACTGCATATGATGGTGTTTGGGTTTATCTCGTGTTTGTCTGTATGTTGTGGGGGGTGTAATCGTTTGTCATTTCAAGCTGTAATGTGCTTGCTGGCTTACAGCATAAGCAGGGTCTAAGAAGACGTGGTTGTACGAAGTAAAATCGTATCGATGACACAGATGTAGATTTCTTACTTAGATGAAAATTTAGTCTCTAAAAGCATTGAAGTATGAATAATAACTCCGGTGGTTGCTGAGGTTAAGAAATTTAGGTATTGGAGTTGTACTTGCAGGTGTAGGACCTGATATAGTAAATCGAATACTTAGTCTGAATGAATCATGCGTTTTGACCGTCTTTCCTTCAGCTCCTCTTCCTACACTTTCTCCTTTACAATTAGATTCTCCTCCTTTAACTTCTTCATTTTTGTCAAATCGTCCTATATAAGCCATTATTTTATTCTTGTAAGATTAGGGTAACATAATAATTTTTCTTGTTCGATGCCTTTTTCGTCAAGAATTTCATTTTCATGGGTTGACAAACCAACTGAGGTAAGTCTGTTATCTTTCGCACAAAACTGTGATACCACTTTCCATTTTAGGCGTTTTTGATTTGTACAGTGTAAAAATGTCATGTTCACTTTAATGTGAGCAAAAGTGGATTAGATTAGTCTGGTTTATGTGGATAGACCAACAATTGACTTCTATAGTCAGTGTTAACTAAAAAGTTCGTTCGCTGAATCTCTCGTTTACGAGGTTATGGATTATTGGCTTTCCATACTTGCATCTGTGAGAAGTAGCCATTCTCTACACTTTTTTTTGCCGAGCCAGGCAGTCGGTTGTCTTATCTAAAGATGCATATAAGTTGTTGCAAACCTACTTGGAAATGTTCACCATTCAAATTAAATGAACTCTCGTAGAAATCCTGCAGACTTTAATCAACTTACCTCTCTGGATCAATTCAGGTGTAAGCTTTCTTCTGCGAATGAATGCTAACTTTTGGCCTTCAAAGCTAACCCCAACTACAGTTCTCACCTACCCGATAGCTAATCTCTATGCAAACTGTCTCAATTATCTCAAGGAGTGAACCCTTTAAGGTCAAAAGGATTCTAGCAAAGATATTGATATTTTAGAAGGTGTAATCCCTACTCAATAGAGCAGAAACTATACTTTGGGTCTAGATTGGTCGCTTAGAGTCAAAACGAGTATTGACCTATCAACGTAGGTGATATAGCAAGTAGAGGGGAAGGAGGTGTGGGGGGGGGGTGGTATGTGCATATTTTTCGGCCCAAAATTTAGAGAATATTTAGTTCTTTTCTGGTTGGGTTAAAGGTGATCACACTCATGTCATGCTTCTTTTAAAAGTCTATGCCCTACATCATTTATATTCGTGATGTTAGCGAGAATGAATAACTGGAACCCATTTGAATCATTGAAAAGAAGAACTTAAACCCACTGATGGCTTTCCCCTGGACATGGAGGTAAGGGGGTTACAGTCGCTGCGCCATGCCCCTCAACACTGTGAAAAGAAATCAGAATGAATAGGAGAAATGTAATGACGACTAAGAAGCTCCTGTACCCTAAGGTACATTGTATAACAGGTGACCTTAATTGGTAGGCGGTTTTTTGCACAAAAAGATTCAATAGAGAGGTAAATTGCACTGGCTTCAAAGTGTTTTGCTCACAATAATTACAATGTCTGAATAAAGTGAAACGCCCTCCTGAAACACAAATCACCTGGTTACTTCCCCATGAGAGCAACCTTTGTCATAATGGAAAGCACAGCACACGCAGAATAGCAGATGGCTTTGCTTACTTGCAGTCCAAAGTGCACACTCCTCGAGTTAAATGGACAAAATTGCCTCAAACTCTGATGGTTTTCAGTTGTGTGTCTCCCATCGATGATGAATTGATTCATCTGTATCCTTTCAAAGAGACACTTCAGTTAGATTCAGACGTCCTAGTGTAGCTGCCAATCCCTATAATAGTCAGCCTTGGATACCGAGGTCAGCCAATACTAGGTCATATGCACGTTGGCTAGGCGGCATCGACCATTGCTATACCTCAAAGAAAACACAAAGCAATTTTACGTCTATGCTAGTCCCAATTTTTGGCCTCCGAGTTGGGGCCTCCCCCAAGTCTTAATCCGATGGATTAATGTGGGTGTATTGTGGAAGGACGTTCATCACCTTGTAAGTGCGATAAAATCCAACCAGATAGTAGACGGAATTAAAGGAGTTTTTAAGGCCCTTCTAAGGTAGAATGTGAAGTCGCCTCCTTCCGTTTTCCAGGGCGGAAGACGAGGCCGGATTGGAACTAACGTAGACGCTAACGCTGGTTATTTCTAGTTAAGCTCTCTCTCATTATGGTGTAATTTTCTCGTTCATTAATCTTTAATATATCTACGTTTGTAGCTACCAGCTGTCTTTTATTTTTTGATGAAGAAGCTATCAGACTTATCCCTAGAACCCCGTAGTATGCTCCCACTACTAGGCAAAATCAGATCGAAAAGTACGTGACCTTAGTCGCTGGCCAGTTTTTTACAAATGTGTTTAACTAAGGTAACACAATCCGGGCATGCGTATTAAATTGAGATTCAAATGAAAGCGCGAATTACAAAAGTCGTTGTTTCTGAAGGGAAGGTCAGAGGATATTGTTAATAATTACTACACTTAAATGCTCAATTAACTCTAATGGCTAATTTTAAGGAAATTGATTTAATATGTTGCAGTGGTATAATTCATTTTTTGAAACGGAGGCTCTTTTGAGAAAAAAACTGCGTTCTGATTGGTAACAGGTTATGCATATGATTTATCTGGTCTAGCATCAATTTGAAAATTTATTCTGATAAAGAAGACAGTTATTTAACTATTTGACCCAGATTAGTTGCAGTTCAATTTGGGTCGCTCGATGAGGCTGGTGAGGGCTAAGTAACTGAGATCGGAAATAGGCGAGAGTTGAAAAATCTTCTCTACATCCCATTCGAGACATGTTTAGAACTTATACTCACACTCTAAGCTGCAGTGTTCGTTCGAAAACCCAAATCAATAGTAGCATCAAGGAGGTGTCTACGCCTCATGATGAGACGAAGTGGCTTTGGAGCAGCTCTGCTCGTGCGTTTTATGTCATGAAGTTCAATAGTCAATGGAAGAGTTACGAAAAAGTAACTCTAGATTTTTCATTGGAATGGTGCTTGAGTGAACTCCAGCCTGCTTCGCCAAGTTCCATGCTCCCTGATTCCACCATATTGTTGAGGTAGCTTAGCCCATTTCGGGAACCATTCCTTACTAGAGGATCTTGTCACAGAGATTGGTAAGGATCAGTCAAGCCTTATTCGTGCAGCAATCCACTATGTAACAATGTGACTGAATAAACTGCTCTATTTACCTTTTTTTCCTCAAGAACACCAACACAGAAATTACAATTTAAAACTCAAAAAAGGGAATGTTTGTGTGCCAGTAAAGCGCTCTTCCCTTTATCCTCTCCCCAATTATCAGGAAGAACTGAACACTGCATTGGAATCTGAGAGGGTGCATTGACTTGAGTACACTTATTGAAATGCTGTATTGTTACATGAGTCCTCGTGCACCAGAGTCAGTTTACGTCGACAGTTATCCTGAGTCAAAGCGCATCATGTGAATGTATACATGTTAGCATGAGTGAATTCCGCGGCCATCTGACGAACTATAATTAGAACACGCATTTGTGGTTCTTTCAAATAAAACAATACTAATTGATGAATAGAGAGAGGACAATACTTTATAGCTGTCACCTTTCCATAGACACCAAGACACTATAGAATTCAGTTGGCAAATTTGTGTATGCTTTGAGCATTATTTATTATTATGTAGTTGCTCAAATAGTCCACTCTCTCTCTCTGCTTTGAAGGAGTTTCGTGGATTTCTGAATAGCTCACGAATAAACTCAGTGGATGTTAGAGAAGTGAGAAATAATGACATCTTGTAGCCGTCATCTTGGGCTCAGTGTTGAAGATAATATTCGAATCTCCATGAACTCTGTAATATGGAGGGGAAGATAAAACTTTTCAACAAAAATTGAAGTCAAATTCTTGGGCAGCGATACGACTATACGTCGTATACTGTAAGAAAATGTTCAATGCTTCACGAGCATTGCAAGCGAAGCAATTGAAAAAGAACATTAAAATCACAACAGAATGAGAATACTATGTCAGTAGCAGTAGCGAGTGGTGTTCAAATCACCAGAGTTGGAGTTCCAAAGAGCAAAAGATGATAAACTGATTAGTAAGTAAGGATCTATAATGAGCAACATTAAAGTTCGATAGGTGTGAAAGCCACAATTACAGTAAGTGGGGTGGTTTGCCATGATTGCATTTCACAACCAAAAATAAAAATTAACCAACCTGTTACTAGTTTGTCTTGAAGAGATCCTTCCTGTCCTTTATCTTCGATCAAGATCTGTCATATATACGTACTGAGAATATCAATCTTGGCTGCTCAGGTGGTGGAATCCATAGGGCCTCCAAGCATATTCATTGGTGAGTTTTGGCTACATGCCCATTTCAAACATTTATCTTGCAGTCACGCGAGTTTGAACTGGATGAGATTAAGGAAAATCACATGAATGCCAACAGTGACCATTTATTTATTTCAGATGGCAGGCATTTTGATAGTTATCATAAGCCATTTAGTTGACTTCAGGATTAACAGAGAGGAAGGAACATCCAAGTGAAAAAGTCGAGAGGGGGGAACAAAAGAGTGTT